AGAGGTGGTACCTGGTTTGATTGGGGGAAAGGCCAGACGGGGATCCTCAGGGGGATGAGAACGCCGTTTCTTTCTCCAGCGACGGGCTGGGTAGGTGTAGAGCTGCCCTGGAGCTACGCCTGATGTGACAGAGAAACACCAAAAGCTGAAGTATGTTTTAGTGAGATGACATGCTATACCCTGTATATCAGTTACAGAGATCATCTAAGGAGCTTGGAAAGAAAAGCGACTGGACTTCATCAACCTCTAATCCAAGAAGCTTCTTCAGTTCTTTGGTTCTTCAGAAGCTTCTCGGATAAGAGGTGAAATGTCTTCAAGAAACGTAAGGTCGTCCAGTCGCTTTGCTTTCCAAGCTCCTTGGATTACTATGACCTAGATGACTGAGAATCTACAAATACTTAAAGAAATCATCCAACACTACTTCAATACCTGCACTTCGGTGTCTCTTCTCCATCCAGATGTAACAGTTGGACTGGGCTACACCAGTCTGAGAGTCCAGGAAAGGCATAAGGATGCTGCGCTCGGCACACAGACGAGCATTATAATTATGACACTGCTCCATGGCATCTCTGTAATACTGCTCTCCAAGCCTGAAAAGTGGAAGTTGGACACTAACAGGTCAAATAACACAAATCAGAACAGACTGTTAATAATCAACTGCTAATTAAACAAAGTTCAAATAATCAACACTGAAGAGATAAGTAAAACTGTATCAGCAGCACCAGCAGTCCTTAAAATGTCTATGTTTAACTGTCTCGTTACATTTGTTGTTACAAATGCTTTCGTGGTTTCCCTCCTTGGCTTGCTTTAGCTCAGATATCCCTGCACAGTCAATGGGTGTATCTCTAGCTAAAACTATCCAGAGCTCAGAGCCAGGCACAAGCTAGCAGCCTCAGTATGAGCAAAAGATCAATGTAGTTATGTGAAAAATTATGCAAGCAAGTGAAAAAGATATGAGTTATCTGGTTAAGTTATTAACATACTGCAAACAACACACAGCAGAGCATTTTATTTTCAGTCATTTAAGTGAGAGAAGATCCTCTAATTAACTTCAACCTGGGGGACATTTTCAAGTTTAATCATCTCTTTATTATGAAAATAATTTGCATTGAAAAAAAAGGTTCAGTTTGATTAATATATCCTGAGTTGTAGTTCTTAGAAAAAAAGGAAATGGTATTGGCAGGTCGCAGTTAAGGGAAAAATCAGCCAAGAAAATTGCAATCAGTGCTTCTCTAGTACTAAACAATTATGTATTAAACCTTTTTTTCAGCTGCTATTTTTGTTACTTATCTGCCAAGCAAATTTTAGCTGGGTTTAACAGCATGACTATGCTCTGTAAAGAGTGGAGATAAAGTGGATTAAGACACATAGCAGCTTATTTTCACTTTAAAACAGTCTTTTTTGAATGACATGCAGCTGATACATGACTGTGCTATCACACAAACCGGCCTTGCTTGAGCTGCACAACAAAGGAGCTGTGAAATTACTGCAAACGGCTACCGAACAACCTGCTGCGACTTTGCTCGCATATTTCACCACAAATGTCTCTTCTACTGCTTTGCAATTACATCACAATTTAACTATTTTAACAGACTAGTCAATGTCGATGTTTCTAAAATGAATAATTAAGGGTTACTGCTCTCCTCATAAATCCACTATTAATTATGTTGAATCACAGCAGTAAAACGATGATATTTTCTCTCTGGGGT